TATCTCAATGCCTGGATTTTGGGCTTCCAAATTGCAATCAAAGTGCTTCTTATTTGCAAGTGCCTTCATGAGTAAGTTGGCAAGTTGATTGTTGGTTGGAAGATATTTGATTTCAGATTCTTCCTCATTGATGAATTTGTAGATCAAATGCTACTTGATGTGAATTTGTTTGGTTTGTTGCTGAAAAATTGGATAATGGCAGGGTTACAGCAGACTTATTGTTGAAGAATAACTTGTTTTCAGATGTGAGACAGGTGTTGATAGAGTTGTGTAGAGTGAGAATCCATTTGGCTTCCTGACTGGCTTTGAATACAGGGACGTATTCTACTTTGGTGGTAGATGCCAAAATAACTGGCTCCTTAAAAGAGCTGTAGGAGATAATTGAATTGCCAAATGTGGCAATGTAGCCAGAGTACAAATGAAAACAATCAACATTTTTTGCCCAGTTAGTGTCAGAGTAGACTTTGAAATTGGTGGTTGAAGAGGTACTGTCCAGAAGTATACTGTAGTTTTGAGTACCAGTTAGAGACCATATGAGATGAACAACAGCATGCCAGTTGGTGATACCAGGTGACTCAAGGTTTTGAGCAGTAGAGAATATCAAAAGCTATTTAGGGACAAGTGCAGAAAGATAAATAAATAAGCACACCCACTCCAAATCAATATTAGCTCCAACTTGCTCAAATGATTGCCTGTCAAACAGGTTTGACTTGATGAGCTGGGTATTGGGAACCATTGGAACCAAGTTAGGTTTTGCATTGAGGAGATTGTCATCAATGAGGACTTTGAATAGGTATGCCTCTCTTTCAAGGCAGGTAGAGTTGCTTGTTGTTGATTTTGGATACCTTGACTCCCAAGAGATGTTTTAATTTGCTGATATGTCATCCATTTTGAAGTGTGCAGAGATGGGATTCTTCAATCAATCAATGTTGGGGCTGATGATGACCATATTGTTGAGATACATGTGGACAAGGCACTCCAAGGATTTGGATTTTATGAGGCAGTGATTGGCAGGAGACAGTTCAAATGTTATTGATTTACAGAATTTGGCAAGAGCTGCATACCAAACCATGAAGCTTCACAAAAGCCGTGAAAAGCTTTCTTGAGGTTAAGGCAGTTCGCTGTCAGCAAGTCAAGGCCAGCTGGTGCACAGAGTTAGATGTCTTCTTCACACTCAACGTATGCAACTTTACCAAAAAAGAAATTCTTCATTTTGGCCAAGGGAATCCTTTCTTGTATTGCAGCAAAATGTAGGTGATATGTGAGATAAATCTGTGACATGTTGCAAAATGTTGGTGATATGTGAAATAACATGTGACATGTTCTGATACAGGGATAACTTTGGTGTAGAGTCCCTATTTTTTTCTCCCTCATTTTCAGGTCATGAGACTAAGACCATTGGTATCTCGAGGGAAAGTTTGGTCTAACGGGATTTCACCCATTCCCCTGCCCCCTGTACACCACAGGTTATTTTTTCCCAAGCTTGCGTCTGCTGGACCCCACAGTTGTGCACAGGGCAGCGGCAACCTGTATGCCCTGGATTTTACAGATCAGACAGATTGCTGTCAGGGATTGGTGAGACCTTTGTCAGTCAGACCTGGCCGACTCAAACATGGGACCAACCCTGCCAACATGCCATGTTGGCAGAGTTGGTATAACACTGGGGTTAGACACGGCTTAGAGCCGACACCATCCGGTCCTGATTGTCTGGCCAACGGTGTCAAGACCTTGAGGCCTTGTTGAGCTGACCAATGAGAGCACATCAAATTGCACTTCCCTGCAAACTATCCCATGCCTCTTTCCATCTAAATAGGAGGCTACACACAATAACATTTAAAAATAAACCACAAAAATTTCTCAATTGGATTAGCAAGGCTGAGATTGGATTGGTTGTGATCTCAAAGTGTCACCCTCTAGGAATTGAATTTGGTTGAGTGGTCTGCACTGACCGGAAGACATGAGCAACTTCCATAATAAGACAAGTTCAAGCCCCACCAGTGGTGTGTTTTTGTCAAGCACACCTGGTTTGTCCAAAGTTGGGCTGACTGTGGCCTTGATGTAAGGCAAGTGTTGGAAGCAATCCCAACTGCGAGCACCAATGTAATACACACGTTGGAGGGTTGGGCCAACGGTGCTCCCGACACCTCCCGCATAGAAACACACCAAGCAATTAAGGGGGGCAAGGTTGGTTTGACATTAAATCTGACACTGTCCCCAGGGGTCACTGCATGTCAGAGTCCTGTCCTAGGCTGTGACAACATTTTACAACATGTCATTCAGTTGATTGATTCCCCTTTCCCTTTTTGTAAAATCATCTTTCATGGAATTGATTCCATTGCTGTATACATTGGAAATTGCTTTCAGGACAAATTCATTGGGTTATTGTACTGCTTTGCAAAGCTGATAAAGGTGTTGATCAATAATGTTTTTATTTTATCATTATGTAATTGT